TACTAAAACACCAAAATACTTCACTTCTGGTCAGTGAAGAACCCACATGACCTTCAGATGTCTGCCACCACCATAGTCCATTCCCTTGAGGCCTCTGGACTTCCCCACATCTTAGCAACTAAAAAGGGAGACCCTAGGACACTGACTCAGCCCTACGGCCACCTCCCTTCCGATTGTATATTGCCTGGGTGTGCTGGCTGTTAGACCAAATATCTTCTGGGGACAGCCCAGGCCTGACTGGACAAGATCAGGAGGCTGAAGCTGATGGGAGACAGATCCAGTCCTTCCCGACTCACAGCCCTGCCCAGGTCTCTGATTGGCCCTTGTTCACTCTTTTCCAGCACCTTGAGAAGCCTAGTGTGCCCAGAAGGCCTTATAGGGTCTGTCTCCTCCCTGCTCACTCTAGACTTAATGGGAGAGGTTTGGCTTTAAGAACAGGACTGGGCCAGGCCTGGGCAATGGCGGCTATTAGCAGGCAGTTACCTCAGGCTGGGCTTCAAAGCTCCTTCAGACACCAAATGCCCTTTCCTCCCCTCCCCCACTGGCCAGCCAGTATCAGACCCTTGACTGGCCTTTTCTCTCCTGAGCCTAGGCCTGGGAGCTGTGGGTGTGACATTGGGAGGGGGACTTCCTGCAGCTGGTTCAGTCCCCAGTGCCCTGACCTCAGGTTCCTTTTTCCCAGTCTCAGCTTAGGTTCCCACTAGGGGCTAGAAGTCCTGGTCTCCTCCTACGTGGCCTCCCTCAGTTCCTGCTTCCAGCCACTTCCTCCCTTGACAGGGCCCAGCCCCTGGCTCACCTGATCTCCTAGCCCTGTCCCTGTACTGTGGGCATCAGTGCCACTTTCTAATTCTCACCCTCTTTCTTTGCTTTGTAGTAGTTTTCTTATCCCCCATCGTTCATCTTTTTTTCCCTTTCCCTCTAAGAGTCAAAAATCTTAGGTCCTGGGTTCCATTCCACCTTTATTTGCTGTGTGACTTTGGGCAAGTGTCTTTACCTCTCTGTAAAATGGGGAAGGTAGAAGCATGTACCTCAGAAGGTGGTGTGGCAATGTGACACTTGGGACAGAGTGCCTGCATGTTCCATTAATGCTCACATGCTAATAATTGTATTTTGTTGTTGTTGTGGAATCATCGAGGGTACAAGGTGACAACTGTCTTTTAATATCCCATAATGTTACAAGCTTCTCGTTGTCAAATAATACTAATTACAGTGATGCTTATATAAAAGTTGACAAGTGTCAGACTTTTCTAGGAACGTTAATTCATTCAAGTCCCATAACAACCTACAAAGTAGGTACTATTGTACTCTCGATTTTACAGAGGAAGAAACTGAGGCCCAGATAGGTTGAGTGACTTGCTCAAGGATGCCCAGCCACAAGGCAGGGCTGGCCTCAATCAGCCAGAGGAGGGCCAAGCCACTAACCCTTCTGTTACAATCTGTCTGGATTGGGGATGGAGGTCAACCCTTTGCGCCAACCCTTTGTGCTCCATATCCAGGTGGCAGCATGGCCCCTGGGAGTGTCTGGCTCTGTCTGGGGTTATCTCTTTCCATCTCTCCTCCCCTATTGTCTCCTCCTCCCTTCAGCCACCACCCACCCCAGACTTCCTCCTTCACTTGGTTGGACGCTACGCCACAGCCCACCAGCCCTTGGACTGTGGTGTCCAGCAGCAGCCAGCATCATGGGGGGCCCTGAACCCTCCAGCAGGCTCCTGCTCCTGCCTCTCCTTCTGACTGTGGGTGGTGAGTTGGGGGCTTCTGCAACTGCCCCGTCTCCCAGTCCCTGGGCTTAGCTGGGGGCAGGACAGGAAGCCTGGTGGAAGGGGAGAACCAAGGGGGGGGGGGTTGGGAAGTGAGCACCTTTCTCGCCCCTCAAAACATGTGTTTTGTCCCAGAGCCTGAGCCCCCAGTATGTAGCGGCTAGTAGAAGTGGGGGAGGAGATGCCTAAGGGTGTTGCAATAGGACGAGTCGCTGTAGAAATAGCACAGTGCAGCAGCCTGGACGCCAGCCCACCGAGTCCTTCCAGATGCTGCAGTCCAGCCTCGCCTCCTGGCTGTCAGGACCCACCCTCCTGAGCTTTTACACCACCCCCCACTCATATCTCCATGCCTCAGTTTACCTTCTTTTTCCCTCCTCAGGTCTCAGTCCTGTCCAGGCCCAGAGCGGTAGGCCTAGACCCTGCAATCCCTCTCCTTACTGCCCAATGACCTCCCCTCTCCAGCCCTTCCCCAGTCTTTCCAAACCTCTCCCTGTTGACACCCTCCCCCCCAATTCCCAACTCACACTGACCTCCTCAACCCCTATGCCATGTTCCCAGAATGCAACTGCGCTGCGGTGAGCCCCGGTGTGCTGGCAGGGATCGTGCTGGGGGACCTGGTGCTCACCCTGCTCATTGCCCTGGCTGTGTACTCGCTGGGCCGCCTGGTGCCTCGGGGCCGAGGGGCTGTGGAGGGTGAGTGGGGCTGGCAAGGGCCAGGCTGGGACACTTGAGGACTTGCCTGGGGGTAGGGTGGGTAAGCTCTGGGTCAGGGATACCCAGAGAGACAGGAATGGAGGGGCTTGTTTTGAAATAACAAAAGAGTCCCTGTCTATCTTTGCACCTTGCGGCCCCTTTGCTCCCACTCCAGCAATGACCCGGAAACAGCGTATCACTGAGACTGAGTCGCCTTACCAGGTAAGAAACCTTTTCCCCTCACATCTCACTCCTGCCCTGGAGTATTTGTTTTAAATCTCTGCCATACCCTCCTGGGGACCCTAAAGCCACCTTCCCAGCATCTCCCCCCAAAACCTTGAAGGCAAAGGGGTATCTGTCCAAAACTGTTAAATTATCAACCACATCCTTATGCTTAACTTAAAATGTGCAGAGGAAATAAATGAGTGGCCTTGCCTTGGTAAGGCCAAGTGCAGGCCTTACCAGAAGGCAGGCCCTGAACTACTCTGGAAAAAGCCTGGCCCTAGGACAGGCTGATTTCTGAGAGAAGCTCTCGGTAGGGCAGGGGATATAATTCACCCCAAGTTTGATAACTCTACAGAGAAGAGTCCTAGAATTTCTGGAGGGGTTTGGCGGGGAGGGTCCTGTATCCCTCCGAGAAGCTGACAAAAGCTAGAGGCTTCTCAGAAAAATCTACCCCCCAAAATATACAATCACGGATGTCATATAGGGACGCTGCAATTATCCTTGGAGCCCTTCTTACTAACCATGATGTAGAGAGGGGTATCCAGTCATCTCTACCTGTCCCTGTCAACGTTTCTTCTTAAACCTTTAGTGGGGGTCATGAGATCCTCTGAGACCCCTCCCCAGAAAAATGCACACCCAGACTAGTCATTTATATATGATGTCAGGGATTGTGTCTGAGGCCTACCCCTTGGGACCACAGATCCTTCCCCGATCGTGGACCCTGCTTTGTTGAAGTCCGTTTATTGTTTGCAACCAGCTTTGCCTGTTTGCCTCACTTGTGGACAAAAAGTTGCTTTGTGCAGTATAAAAATCCTGAGTTTGGTTCTGTGAGGTCCAGAAGACCTAGGGGGCTTTCTACTTACTGCAGGCAGTGAAATTTTAGGGCAAAGGCCCACTTTATTCATTCCTTCAGTGGTGTCGAGCACTTACATGTACTAGATGGTGCAGCGGAGTTTCCATCCTAGTTGGGAAGACTCGAAACAAATCAAGCAATACAATCATTTTGGGAGGCCAGGAGTGGTGGCTCACACCTGTAATCCTAGCACTCTGGGAGGCTGAGGCAGGTGGGTTACCTGAGCTCAGGTGTTCCAGACCAGCCTGAGCAAGAGTGAGACCCTGTTTCTACTAAAAATAGAAAAATTAGCCAGGCACTGTGGCAGGTACCTGTAGTCCCAGCTACTCAGGAGGCTGAGGCAGGAGGATTTCTTTTTTTTTTTTTTGAGACAGAGCCTCAAGCTGTCCCCCTGGGCAGAGTGCCATGGCATTACAGCTCACAGCAACCTCCATTTCC